TGTTCCTCCCATGCGGTTCTGGCGAGCTAAGAAAATGTTTATCTCCCTGAGCTTGGCCTTCATAATTTCATTTCATCACACTTCCAGATACATTGGATTTTTGTCCCCATAATTCCTGCGTCAACACTGCCAATAGACAACACATCTCAAGAGCACACATTGGAAGTGGTGTAGTCTAACATGGTGAAATGTGGAAAATGCTTGATAAGCTAACTGTTCATTTCATGGGTCGGTTCTAGAGACTAGCAACTAATAAAAAATAAATGTCCATCTGCCAGATCTGATCAGTTTTACCAAGAAGACCGAAGCTTGTCTGAATGTTCAGGTCAGTGGAAATACAACTGAACTTCAGTTGCAGAGAACAAACCACAAGCTTTGTGTAGCTGTGTTTGGTAGATGTCATGGTTTTGTTTTAGCATCCTCAATATGCAAAGTGCTTCAAGAATATGGTAAATGAAGTGCATCCAAGGAATTTGGGGCAAGGGAAACAAAGGACCAGATCTCTACCTATGTCATTTATAAGCTTGGTTTTCACAGAGCATGAGAATTTGCTGCTGCTTCTGTGCCAGACCTCTATGTTTCTTTGCAAGTGACGTGAAGACAGAGCCAACTAAAGGCACCTTAGAGCGCACCCTCTCACCTGTACACATCTGCAACTCGAATTCCTTTCTGAGTTGTTTTGCAGGATCTCCCCCTATATTGCTGCATCAGAAAAAAAAACTTTAGTGGAAGCATCCATGCTGGGGAGCTCACTTTTCAGAAAGACTCCACTGGCACTCAAGCCACAAAAGTTTTAGAACCAGTGAAAATCCATATTTTCCCAGGCATTTTCTTTCTTAAACCTCTGTTTTAAAATCCTTATAGGTACTTTTGAATTTTCAGCTGACATGGGAGGGGAGCATTATCCTATGGTTTTACAGCTTGCTGCATTTTTACTCTGGATTGTATTTACGGTTTTCCCATTTTTTATCTTCATTTATTGGCCCAAGCCATTACATTGAAGAGAAAGGAAAGAAGTTTCAGAGAGGTATAGGATCTTAAGGCTAGCGGGGCCTTCCTTTCCCACCAGCCAGAATCATAAGGATTTTCTGGACCAAGGTGGATTTATTGGCATAATTTCACAGGAGATTTGGGGAAAAAGAGATGGGAGTTCAGACAAAGCCACTGTTTTGCTTTCCCTTTTGCCTGTCTGATGAGAGTCAAAAGGATCTATTTTTATTTCTCAGGATTATTGTTACCCCTAGTCCGTAAACCATATTTTGCAGGAAATGTTTCAACTGCCCCATATAGATGCAAAAATCATTGCAGACATAAGGTTGCAAACTTTCCCAAAAGTAGGATTTTGATAGAAACGGGATCCGCTATTTTTAAAAATGATATAGCATTGCATTAAACCCCTTAAGCTCTTTATCCTTGAATGTCAGAATTATAAAACTTTTGCAAACTGCAAAAGACAGGAGCGGCTGTTGCACAGGGAAGGGAAATAGAGATTTATATTGTAATGAAAGGGGTCTAGATTTTTTTAACCTCTTCTCTAACAGAAATACATGTAATGCATTTACTGTGCACTGTGAAAAAAAACCCTTTCTTTATTGTTGCAGTTTTGAACATCTGCCAGGAAGTGGCGCAAATCTTCCATTGTTCATCAAAAAGCTTTGCATAATATCTCCACTGTGTGGATGTTAAGAATGAAATTCTATGCATTCCTACTCCAAAGCAAAGCCCATTCAGTTTAGTAAGGCTTAGGTCCAGGGAAAACTGCAAGCTATGAAAGGAATAAAGAATGCAAGTAGGGAATCCTAGATCAACAAAGTGAGATGAGACAAAATGAAAAATTGCATGTACTGTAAACCAATACCGTAACCAACATAAAGGTCACCCACTACCAATCAAGGTCAAAGGCACATAACTCTGAGCAGGGGTTTTCTGGAGGGAGAGATGGGGGTCAAAAAAAAGGAAAAATGGTGGCCATGACTGTAATCAAAGCCCCACCCTTCTTTTATGTGTATTACACATGTGCAATGTGTTATCTTAACATTTTTTATACCCACCCCCCACCCCCATGGATGGCCCTGCATCCAGGGAAAGCAAGTTCCAGAGTGTGGGGACTATGGCTGTAAAGGCCTGCTGCTTGACTCGCACCCCATATACTTCTCAAGAGGATGAGATTCAGAGCAGGCCATGCCTGGTTTTCAGACCGGCCAGGCAAACTCGAACGCAGGCTACTCAAGAGTCACCAATAGAAGAGAAGACCTTGTAGCTCAGGGTTGAACGGTGGAGTCCTTGGTGCTCTCTGAGCTTGGCGGTTGGCTTGCAGACATTTCATGACCCAACTAGGTAACGTCATCCGCGCAAGTCACAGGATCAAGGCAAGTCACACGCAAGTGAGTGAGTAAATCCATGAATGCTGCTGGTCTGTCTTGCTTGTGTGGCATCCTATAAGAACAGGAGCAGCCAGCATGGCACTGAATTCCACTTTGCATCAGCCTCAGCCCCCTGGTGTGAAATGGACTGGGACTGTAGTCTCACAGCAGCTGGAGGAAGAGTCATTAGAACCAAAGTAGAGAGCCCGTTTGGTGTGGTGGCGAAGGCACCAGGCTGGAAAGCGGGAGACCGTGTGTTCTAGTCCCACCTTGGGCACAAAGTCAGCTGGGTGAGCCTGGGCTGGTTCTCTCTCAGCCCTAGGAAGACGAAGGCCAGGGCGAACCACTTCTGAAATCTTGCCAAGAAAAATCTTGCCAAGACTTGTCCAGGCAGTCACCAGGAGTCAACCCTGACTCGAAAACACCTACGCACGCACACCGAACCAAAATAGCTTCCTAAGGTTGGGAAAGGCTGTAGCTGAGTGGCAGAGAATTTATTTGGTCTGCAGAAGGTCCTGAGCTCAATCCCCAGCCTGTCAACGGAGGGAAAACTGCTTATCCAGGATTTCAGACCAGAGTCAATCAGTTACTGCCTACTTTCCTGAGTGAAATGGTTGGTAAAAGGGAGCTTCTGCCATTTGGGTAACCCTAAACCAAGGCTAACAAACAACGGTTCTGAGCTCAGAGACCAGGTTAGAATTTGACATGATGGCCTGTGACCAGGAATGGGCTACGAGTTGGAGTACAGTAAAAGCGGGATGGGAATGGGGCCAATCCATATAGCAATACTTTCGAGTTGCTGATTGAGGAAAAAGAAACCTCATTTACGGAGTTTTAGGGGAGGCGTTCCCTCTTTGAAACTGTCTGAATGGCCATCCCATAATAATCACAAGGCAAGGCTGAGACCAAAGCAGGGCCCCTCCAAACGAGCTGGACTTCACTTCCCATCATCCCCAGAATGCTGGCTGGGGAGTCGACCTCATCTTTGGGGCGCCTGCACGGGAAAGGCAGCCACGGGCCCAGCGGTCCGATCCCCCTCCGGGCCACGATGCTCTGCGCAACCGGCCATCGTGGCCGGGGGAGCGGGGAGAGCGAGCCTCATTCCGGCTGCCAGATCTTTTCCAGACCGGGCGGTAGCCATGGGGCGAAGGGGCGGCTGAGCCTCTCTTCGGGGGAATA